TGAAGATAGTACAGTAGTGCCTCGTTAATTTGGTAATTATAAAAATTGTATTGGTTCGGCTTAGCACTGTGTTGAGCTCCCAAAGTAAAGCAGGCATCGTGAATATTTAGCTATCTTTTACCTAGCAGATCGTTTCAATTCAGTAGTGCCTAGTCTGTGGGCAAAACGCTGTAGCGGGAGCTGGGCGATGCAACATCCGCTCATTTTAGGGGAAGAGATACGTGAAGAACCTTCATTCTGTAGACATTAATGAAGCGCTTATTTTATGCTCAACGCGGGAAGCCATCACTCAATATTTCAAACAAAATTCAGCACAAAGCCATGTTCACACTAGTGAACAGTCTCTCTGAACAGACTATGGCTCTTTACCATTTTCTGGAGCCGGTGTGGTTTTAGGGTTTGTAGACTTGGAGGTCATGGTTACTGGGATGAGAGGGTTCTTGTTTGGCTGGTATTCAGGAAGGTGCTTATGGGGTGAGTCTTCCTGATGTACCAGGCAAGTCATCGTTGACTGATTGCACAGGCTAATACCAGTTCTGGTGGTTACCTTCCACCATCGTTCAGAAATATATGCCCTTCTTCAGGGATGGGGGAGCTTTTCCAGGATTAATTCTCTGTGCTAGTGCTGTCCATTAGACATATCATAATTGTTACGTATGTAACTGTAAGCTAACCAGTAACCACATTAAGAAATGTAAAAAGATGAAATTAATATCATTGCAGTAATTTAGTAGACAATTGATAATAATAGAAATAATATATAGATATATAGATATATAGATATATATATAATTGTTAATAAGGCTTTATTCAGTCCAGTATATCTACAGTTTCAACTTTGGTTCTTCTATAGATTTTGCCGCCTTCTCTCCGTACCAAGTCTTCAGCATCTAGTGTGTGTTTTATACTTAAAGCACATCTCCCTTCCGACTAGCTGTGCGGAAAGTGGGTTATGTTGTATGGCTAGTGCCTGTTTTAGTGCAGGTCTACACTAGCTTCTGGGGGCACAAGGACAGACAGAAGGCCATATCTTTTTTTTTAAAGATTTTATTTATTTATTTGACAGAGATCACAAGTAGATGGAAAGGCAGTCAGAGAGAGAGAGAGAGAGAGAGAGAGAGAGAGAAGCAGGCTTCCTGCTGAGCAGAGAGCCCGACGCGGGACTCGATCCCAGGACCCTGAGATCATGACCTGAGCCAAAGGCAGCAGCCCAACCCACTGAGCCACCCAGGCACCCCAGAAGGCCATATCTAGCCTCCATGCTATCACGGTCTCACAGAAGCATAGCCGAGTAAACGAACACTCTAGATGCAGGACCCAGACTAGGGTGAGGCAAGCTAGGCATGCACATAAAACTTAAGGATTTGCTCACTCTCAGGGTCGTCCAGGCGCAGGGTCTGCCCCGAGAGTGAGCACCTCCTTAAATACTGCACCCTAAGCACCCCATTAGCCTCCCCCTAGTCTCATTCCCGCTGGGGAGCCTCATCAAGTAGCAGATTCTGGGTACCCAACCCTGGAGCTTAAAATTCAGAAGGTCTCAGGTAGGACCTAGGAATCTGGAGTTTCCATAAACGTCCCCAAGGAGTCTAATGCGGTATTTGGGATCTCCCTTCGAGAAACTCCGGCTATGCCAAGAGCCTCCCAGAGAGTTTCTTGATATCCAGGGAAATCATTTCTTTTTCCTTTTCTTTCTTTTTTTTTTTTTTTGTGGTTTTGGGAGTACGTGTTGCTGCGGTTATCAGTCACCTCTGAATTTTTAGGGGCTGTGCTGGGATTCTGCAGTTCCTCTCGTATAAGGCTCCTGTAGTCTCTGTTCCTGGCCTTGCAGCCTGCAGGACCCTTGGCTAGATGCCAGCTTCGTGTTCCATAGACACATTGACTACGTCAGGGGCAAAACCATAAAAGGCACATGGTGGTGTGGAGAGTGAGTTATGGTAGGTGCTGAGAGGTGTGCCAGGAACTGAGTGGTCTGGGAAAAATCAAGCACTGAGTTTGCTTTCAGCTTCTTCACCACGTCTAGCTTATTTGACACTCTGTGGTCGCCTTCATATCTCACCACGCCAGTCACATTGTTTCAGCAGGCCTCAAATAGAAAAAGGCAGTTAGTCTGTGATCTGTCAGGTTGCACACGGACTATAGATCGTGTGTTACAGCTGTGTTTCGGGATGCGTTTCCTTGGGCAGGGGAGCAGCCCCAGGTGGAGAGTATCTGCTTTTCTGTGTGCATATGTGTGCTTCTGTTTCCAGATCTCCCCGCTGGTCTGCTTCCTGCTGTCCCCTGCGGCTTCCTTCATCACCGGACAGTTGGTGGATGTGGACGGGGGCCAGTCCTTGTATACGCACATCTTCGATGTACCAGGTGGGCCCACAAGAAATGACCATCACTAACTTTATGCCTTTTCAGGTTCAAGTTCTCAAAATCTTTCTTTTTAGTAAGATTTTATTTATTTATTTGAGAGAGAGAGAGAGAGAAAGAGCACAAGCAGGGGGAGCTGCAGGCAGAGGAAGAGGGAGAAGCAGGCTCCCCGCCGAGCAGGGAGCTTGATGCGGGACTTGATCCCAGGACTCGGATCGTGACCTGAGCCGAAGGCATATGCTTAACCGACTGAGCCATGCAGCTGGCCCAGTTTTCAAAAAAATTTTTAAGCAGTTACAGAAAGGATTAGGGTTTTCTCTCACGGGACATAAAAAAATGTACAAAATGTTTATATTCCTGAAAGCATCTTTAAAGGAAATGTTCCCAGTCAGAGAAAATATCTAAATATTTTTTATCATAGCACATATTTATGTATTTTAAGAAATTGCCTTGTGTATATAGGTTGGTGGATTTTTAACCTTGAAAAATATTCTTGATATGAATATATATGTATAAGGAGAAGATAGAAAAGAGGCAAGAGGTTGCCGTATTTTTAAGATTTAATTCCTCTTTGTTCCTCTGATAAGTGAGTTGTATATCTGAGCAGAAGACTCAGACCTAGTAGGTGGGGAAGGGTGCTACGGTACCATTTTACATTATCTTTGGGATATATATTGAGTGAATCCATAGGAATTTGCTATATTCAACCATTTTTTTCTTTTTTTTTAATTTAACTTAATTTTTTTTCAGTGATCCATAATTCATTGTTTATGCACCACACCCAGTGCTCCATGCAATACGTGCCCTCCTTAATACCCACCACCAGGCTCACCCAACCCCCCACCCCACTCCCCTCCAAAACCCTCAGTTTGTTTCTCGGAGCCCCCAGTCTCTCATGGTTTGTCTCCCCCTCCAATTTCCCCCAACTCACTTTTCCTCTCCATCTCCCAGTGTCCTCTGTGTTATTCCTTATGCTCCACAAGTAAGTGAAACCATATGATAACTGACTCTCTCTGGGCTTGACTTAGCATAATCTCTTCCAGTCCCGTCCATGTTGCTACAAAAGGTGGGTATTCATCCTTTCTGATGGAGGCAAAATATTCCATTGTATATATGGACCACATCTTCTTTATCTGTTCGTCTGTTGAAGGGCATCTTGGCTCTTTCCACAGTTCGGCGACTGTGGCCATTGCTGCTATGAACATTGGGGTACAGATGGCCCTTCTTTTCGCTACATCTGTATCTTTGTGGTAAACACCCAATAGTGCATTGGCAGGGTCATAGGGAAGCTCTATTTTTAATTTCTTAAGGAATCTCCATACTGTTTTCCAAAGTGGCTGCACCAACTTGCATTTCTACCAACAGTATAAGAGGGTTCCCCTTTCTCCACATCCTCTCTAACACTTGTTATTTACTGTCTTATTAATTTTTGTCATTCTGACTGGTGTAAGGTGGCATCTCCATGTGGTTTTGATTTGAATCTCCCTGATGGCTAATGACGGTGAACATTTTTCCATGCGTCAGTCAGCCATTTGTATGTCTTCTTTGGAGAAGTGTCTGTTCGTGTCTTCTGCCCATTTTTTGACATGATAATCTGTTTTGTGTGTGTTGAGTTTGAGGAGTTCTTTATAAATCTTGGATATCAGCCCTTTGTCTGTAGTGTCTGTAGTCTGTAGTAGGTATTTGCAAATGCCTTCTTCAACCATTTTTAATATACAAAACCAGTAATCTCATGAGTCTCAGCCAAATATAGACATTGCACATGAATATAAAATTCAAAGGTATTTACACTGTTGCTGAAGAGTGTTAAGTGGCTACTAGCAAATCAAAATGTGGTTGATGTAATGCCTGTGTATTTTTTTTTTTTTTAGAGTTATTTATTTATTTCAGTGAGAGAGAGAACACGGGAGAAGGGGCAGGCAGAAGGACAAGGAGAGAGAATCTCAAGCAAAGTCTTTGCTGAGCATGGAGTCCAAAGCAGGGCTCCATCTCACGACCCTGAGATCAGACCTGAGCTGAAACCAAGGGTGGGACGCTTAACCGACTGGGCCACTCTAGACTCCTGCATGTGCATTTCAGTTTCATATCAGGGACCGAGGTTCACCCTACTCTTTTGTGTACTAACAGTCTACTCCAGGCTTCAGACCTTCTTTGCATCAATAAATGATAAGTATGGGACTTCAATATTATTATTTCCCCCTCCTGTCTAGATTTCTAGATTTACTAGTATTTACTAGTAACATCAGTGTGGTGATGTACAGAAGATATCATGTTTTTTTTTTTTTAATTTCATTTATTTATTTAACAGAGCTCAAACAAGTAGGCAGAGAGGCAGGCAGAGAGAGAGAGAGGGAAGCAGGCTCCCCACTGAGCAGAGAGCCCGATGCGGGGCTCGGTCCCAGGACCCTGGGATCATGACCCGAGTGGAAGGCAGAGGCTTTAACCCACTGAGCCACCCAGTGCCCCAGATATGATGGTTTTAAGGCGCCTGGTTAGCAAGACAGAAACGCCTCCGTGTTGTACGATACGGTTTTCAGAGAGTAAAGTGGCCACTTCCCTCCCCAGCGGCGCTGAGGGTGTTTGTCGATTCTCGTTGAGAAAAGGGAAAGGAACTCCAGATAGCGGCTTCTCCGGGCCACCAGTGAGAGATTTTCCTTATTAATTCCTACGCTGTTTTGTTTTGTTTTTTTTAAGATTTTATTTATTTATACTAGAGCAAGTGAGCAGGGGGAAGGGAGAGGGAAAATCTCCAAGCAGACTCCCTGCTGAGCCCAACGCTGGGCTCCATCTCAGGACCCTGAGATCATGACCTGAGCCAAAATCGAGTCGGACGCTCACCTGACTGAGCCACCCAAGCGCCCCAAACGCTGCATTGATTAGTGTAGGGATTTTTTAAAAGTTTTGGGTGAAATCAGCTACAGCAGTTTTTCAAGAATATATTCCCTCCACCACGCAGGGATGCCTGGGGGGGCTCAGTCGGTTAAGCAGCAGCTGCCTTCAGCTCAAGTCATGATCCCAGGGTCCTGGGATGGAGTCTCACATCGGGCTCCCTGCACAGCGGGGAGTCTGCTTCTCCCTCTGCCTGATCTGCTTGATGCTCCCCCCCGCTTGTGCTCCCTCTCTCTCTGACAAATAAACAAAATCTTAAAAAAAAAAAAAAAATATATATATATATATATATATATATACACTTCTGCCCCCACCCCACCCTGTGTGGGAATACTGAGCCTTTCCGTCCTGTGTTTTCTTGAAGATCACCAGCCCAGGAGTGACAAGTCCTGGAGTAGAAGATCACACAGTAGCTGTGTGATCTTGGGAGAATTAATTTCTGTAGGCTTCCATTTTCCTTTCTGTAAAGCGGAGTCACTTACAGCATTTATTGGGTAAACGGTTGGAAGCGTTAAATTAGATAATGCACATTTAAAGCCTTGTGTCAGATAGGATGTTTTTAGCTGCAGCTCATACTGGCCTGAGCTGGCAAGGCATTTATTGGCCCGTAACTGAACGGTCTGCTAGACTTAAATTATCCGCTCATTGAGCTCATCGGGGGCAATGTTTTTTTTTTCTTTTCCCTCCGTTTTTGCTTCTGTGGTGTTGGCTTTCTCTTAAGACGGACTCTCCTGGTTCCAGAACGGCTGCCTGTCCTCCAAAAGCCCCATGCTTCTTTTTCCCCAGTCTGCTGGACAGAGAGAAGGGAGGGGAATGACGTTTTATAGCATTGCTAGCAGAATTCTGAGACCTACTCTGTTTTGGACCAGCTGATGTGTGTAGCCCTCCCCAACCAGTAGCCAGAGGCGTGACTTAGCTCAGTTGGAGATCAAAGTGGGGCCACTTCCCCAGAAACTCATGGATTTCCCCAGTGCAGGTGGAGGCTCTTGGAAAGAGAGGATGAGGGACTGGATGCTGGACAGGCAGCTGTGTGTGCCCGGTACAAAGTAAGTACACGGCTTTAAAGTCATCCTGGTTCCTAAGGAAATAGTATGTGTGGAACCGCTGCGGTACGCCAAGCACTCTGCATAGGCCGTCACATTTAATTTTCACAACTTTAGTAGAGCAGATGTTGTTAGAATATTCCAACACACACACACACACACACACACACACACACACACACACACACACCTCGCCTCGCCCCAGGAAAACAGGCTGAGGAGGAGGAACCTCTCCAAATTTGGAAATGCTAGTACCTGGCAGGGCTGGGATTCAAAACCAGGATTTTCTCAAGACCTTTGCCAGTTTTCCTAATGATTTCTTTTTTCTTGCCGAGAAAAGAAAAGGGGTGAACCAGGGAAAATAAGAAGGGAGTCTGCTGGAAACTAAGATGATGAAGGAGGTTAATAGATTTACGCTTGACGTGAGCTTTTCCGCTTGCTCACCAGATCACGACAACTGGCCTGACGGAGCAGGGGACGTTTCTGTCGTCAAACAGTTGAAGGAGGATTTCAAGAGTAAAAGCAAGCTCTAAGCTAAGGAAACTACACGTGTCTTTTGTCTCCAAATGCCTTAATATCTCAAGAATGCACTTTCGTACTTTCCAGGAGCTGCTAATATGAAGGGAACTATCACTTTCTGCCTTTTAATGTTATCAGTCATGCCTATGCAAAAACTGTTCCTGAAATAATGCACATTTAAGCCCCAGACAACACTGTTTAGCCTGTGATTAAAGATTTCTTTTTTAGGAATGGGGCTTAACAGTCTTTATGATTATGCCTTTCCTTTCTAAGCAAGCTAATTGAAAAATGAAGTCATTTCAAATTAATAATAGAGGTATCATGATCTCCCAAAAAGGTTTTAATATTTGTTTGTAAAGGTGGGCAGTAAACCCAAATTCTGGCCTCTGGATGATTCTTAAAACCAGAGATATACAGTGATTCATGTCTCATGGTGGGTATCATGCTTTTGGGGCCATAAAGCTTTATGATAATTATCGATGATTCATGAAGTTAGATTTGCATAAAGCCTCTGGAGTCAGAAGAGAAGTAAAGTCATGTGCAGCATTTCTTGGAAGTATTTGATTTGTGTCTTGATTTCCAATCTAAAGTATTCCCTTTTCTTCATGTTTCTCTTTTTGTATGCAAAGCAAATTTTTAAATGAAATGTTCTGCAAATTAGGGTTCAGTATTCTACCTTCACTTGACTTTTTTGGGCAATGATCCTAACTTCTGAAACGCCTTTTATAAATTATGTACATCCATTTTTTTGTATTAATTGAACATCTTTTAATTGACTTATTCCCTCTTGAAGTCAAGTAGATACTTTCTTTTCTTTATTCTCAGTGCAAAGTACAGGTCTTCCTTGGCTTAAAAAGGGGTCATGTCCTGATAACCCCATTGTTAGTTGATAATATCATTAAGCCAAAAATGCATTTAATACACCCAGCTTATTGAAAATCAATCACTTAGCCTCGTCTCCCTTAAACGTAACGTAAGCCCAGAGCACTTACGTTAGCCAACAGTTGGTCAAGATCATCTCACACAAAGCCTACGTTACACTGAAGTGTTGAATATCTCATGTAATTTAGTGAATACTTGCTGAAAGTGAAAACCAGAACGGTTGTATGGGTGCAGAATGGTCTGCAATTTCTGCCGAAAGTCTTTTCGCTTTCACACCGCAGTGCAGTTGAAAAATCACGTGAAACCATCGTTAAGTTGGCGACAGCTGTATGTAATTTTCCATGCTCCGGGAAGGGACCCACAAATCGGCCATTTTATGAGGCTCACACATGGGGCCGGGACCAGGGTGAGGCTAACTACATGCCTGGGGGGGGGGGGCGGGCAGCATGAAAGAGATGCTCACTCTTGGGTGAGCCCAAATGCAGAGTCGCCCCTGAGAGGACACACACAACTGTGCATTTTGTGTCCGTGCTATTCACAGGGAAAGATCAGAAATCTTTTCCTTCTAGAAAACACTTGAAAATGGCCTGCTGGACACGATAATATTGTAGTTGCTAAACATTCAAGCCACAGGTTAACCCTAACATAGGTGGTGTGGAAGACAAAGAGGCAGGGAGGGCTTGCTTTTCAGATCCCCTCATGTCAGTGACCAAAAACAACCCCACAAATCTCCATGATGTTGTCGCATGTTTATTTCTACTTAAGGCATGGAGGCATGAGACATAACTACCACATAGCATGAGACATAACTACCACTCCTCATTAGATCTTGTTAGCTTAATGATTGGACAGCTGACCATTGTCTATGTTCTAGAATCATAAGTCTACTCCCCAGGACTTCTGTACATTATATGATCGTGTCCTCTCAATAAAGTTCTCTTGCTACTACACTTAGTAAATTTTGCTATAGACTGAATATTCCTGAATAAGTTTAATCATTCAATAATTTTCAGCCCCTGTGTGCTCAGCGTCATGTTAAGAATTGGGTGTACAGGGGCGCCTGGGTGGCTCAGTGGGTTAAGCTGCTGCCTTCGGCTCAGGTCATGATCTCAGGGTCCTGGGATCGAGTCCCGCATCGGGCTCTCTGCTCAGCAGGGAGCCTGCTTCCCTCTCTCTCTCTCTCTGCCTGCCTCTCTGCCTACTTGTGATCTCTGTCTGTCAAATAAATAAATAAAATCTTTAAAAAAAAAAAAAATTTTCAGCCCCTGTGTGCTCAGCGTCATGTTAAGAATTGGGTGTACAGGGGCACCTGGGTGGCTCAGTGGGTTAAAACTCTGCTTTTGGCTCCAGTCATGATCTCAGGGTCCTGGGATCGAGCCCCACACCAAGCTCTCTGCTCAGCAGGGAGCCTGTTTCCTCCCTCTCTCTATCTGCCTGCCGCTCTGCCT